AAAAGCTAAATTTTCATCTATCATCTTACTAACCTTCTAAGCTTTAACCGTATTTTGAATCAACTTGATGATGTTGAAATTATCTCCTTCAATGATAACACCTTGTGCTTCAAACATCCAATCTCTCACCAAATTTTTCAAGTGTAACACAGCCAATAATTCCAATTGAGAGATGTCCCAATGCCAACATTTTTCTCCAAAATCCATAAAAAATCTGCCCTTATCATCTCTAGCTACTCCACCAATACAGGCCATATTATTAATTTTAAGAGCAGCGTCCACATTTATCTTGATCCACCCGGGAGGAGGGGGATGCCAAGTAGATAACAGTCCAAGATGATTAGCATCCCAGGATCCCGTTTGAATATTTAGGAAATTACTGCTTACCACCATAGAAATGGCATTTACTGCTAATGTATTATCCGATTCTTCTTTATCCCCATGAATCAATTTACATCTGCTCTTCCAAACCAGATAAACTGCTATACAAAACAAGTTAGCTCCAAGATTGCTCCTTCCATTGGCTTTAAGAAGAAAATCCATGCACCTTTGAAAATTATCAAAGATTGGGACCATAAAACCCCAATTATTGATAATAGAAATCACATTCTTAATTTTGAAACAACCACCAATTAAATGGTTTTCATCTTCATCAACTCCACATCCTCTCGGGCAATGAGAATTAATACATATTTTCCTCTTAACCAAGAATGGATTAGAAGGAATACATTTATTGTGAAGCCTCCACCAGAAAAGCTCTGTTTTTGGTTTCAACTTGAATTTCTTTAAACAAGTCCATAGATCCAGCTCTATCCCGTGTTCCAGTGAAGCTTTAAAAGCTAGTGCAGTAATCGACTTTCCAGAGAACTTACACATTAATTCCAATTGATCAGCATCTTGACCGTTGTTGATCAGGATGTTAGAAATGATTTCCATAAGCTATACACCAAAACAGTCTTCCAACTTATTAAAGTCCCAATTGCCATTTGAAATGAAAAAGCTAAGCTTTTCATCATAAGAATTATGTACATTAATGAAAGTCGGCCATCTGTCAATACATTTATTGAAAATCCAGGAATCTTTCATCCACCTTATAGATTCCCCATTAGCAATGTTCC